CCTTCCCATTCCGCCCCTCAAAAGGCGTGCTCACCTCTGCACGGTTGCTGCTCTCCCCTTGCGAGGCAGCCTGGCAGGTCTCTTTCCCCTAATAAAGCCTGTAGTCCTGGTTTTTGGCTCCCGACTGGTCTCTCATTCTGGTGCCGAAACCCGGAGAGGTGAACAGGAGCGTGGACGATCCTTGAACCTAGGCCCGAGCTTCTGATTCCTGCTCTGGCTCTGCTTGGTGGTACGGTTCTGAGTTGATTGGCCCGCTCCGGACACCTCTCGAACCCTGCCGCACCGGGACACGTGGGGATCTCGTTGCCTCCCTTCCACCGGTAGGCTTCAGGGACTTTCCCAACCCCCCTACTTTTTTTTCTCTCGCTCCCTGTGACCTGGAGGGGCATTAGGGCCTACAGAGTTTCCCGTCTACTCGGCTACACGTTTCGTGCGTTCTAGAAAGCCCAGGTACCTGGCTGGGAATTCTCTTCTCCACGGGAAAGGTCTCGGGGTGACGACCTTGGAACCTTTTCTCGTCTCTCTCTTGCTACAGGTTGACTGAGGGAACAGGAGGACGCTCCTTGTTCCTTCCCCAACTTCTGCTTGCCCTTCCCTCCGGTCATGGGGACCTTCCAGTCCAAACCCCCTCGAAACACACCGTTAGGGTGTCTCCTCGCCAATCTCTCGACCCTTGGTCTTTCTGGCTACATCAAACCAAAGAAGCTCGTTTTTTTCTGTAACACTGCCTGGCCACAATATAAACTCGACAATGGCTCTCAGGGACCCGAAAACGGCACTTTCGATGCCAATATCCTCCGAGACCTAGATAATTTTTGCCACCGGGCAGGGAAAGCTTTCGAAATCCCTACAAACAGGTTTTATTTCCCCTCCGCTCTCACTCCTCGCTTTACTCCTCATGTTCCATTCATCAGATCCTCCCCGCAGAGTCCTCTTTGCCCTCTCAAACTGATTCTCAGCTCCTTTCTCTGTCTTCTGACCCTTACAGCCCTGCCGTAGAAACCTGCATCCCACGCTCTCTGAGACCTCTAACCGCCCGCCTTCCCCTGGGCGCTCTCCACCCCCATGACCACCAGCAACCGAATTCAGGCTGGCCAGTTCCCTTTGTGAGAGGTTGCAGCAGGGGAGGGTATTACCCGGGTAGCCATTCCCCTCTCACTCTCTGATCTTTCTCAAATCGAAAAACACCTTGGCTCTTTCTCTTCAGACCCTCCTAACCAGCAGCTGCCTTCTCCCCAGTCTCTGAAAGCCCAAATCCTGAGAACGTGAGCTCTAAAACAGCTTTTCCCACTAACACTCATTCTCAGGCCACCCGAAGACCGCCTTCCTCGACAGCCTCTTCTATTCCCGCGCCCGTTCTCCCCGAGGGAGGCAGCAGGAACTGAGGGCGTAGTCTGAGTAAATGCCCCATTCCCTGTGTCCAGCCTCACAGATTGAGAGGCATCTCAGGTTTCTTTTTCCACTGACCTGACCACTTTTACTTCCCCCGACATGCGCAGCAAACTTCCACAAACCCCTCAAGAAGACCTCGTTAACCTTTAAGGACTTTAATAATAGAGACGAGGAAACCCATATCCAAAATCAAAGATGAGATCAGGCCAAGGCTGAGGCCCATTAGGAGGCCTTCCAGCTCCTAGCCACCGCTTTCAAACCCCAAATGACGCGTCAGTCCTCCAACCGCGGGTAAGTCAGGGGCTAAGCCTCCTCCGGGCCCGTGCCTCAAAAGCAGCAAGGAAAGACAGTGAGCCAAGTCCTGCT